CCGCTCCGGGCTGAGCCCGGATCCCGCTCCGCGCTCCGGGCGGCCCCGCTGCGGGCTGAGCCCGGATCCCGCTCCGCGCTCCGGGCGGCCCCGCTCCGGTCTGAGCCCGGATCCCGCTCCGCGCTCCGGGCGGCCCCGCTCCGGTCTGAGCCTGGATCCCGCGCCGGGGGAGCGGCGCTCGCTCCGCGCCTGCTCCTGTACGGTCTGGCGAGCCGAGCCAGCGCTTCTAACAAAACCCATGGAAAGACACTCCGCCTGRAGCTGCGCTTCCTTAGCAAGCTGCGTAATCGCGTGGGTTTCCTCGTGCAAGCTGGCTAGGATTGCTTTTGTTGGCGKCTGGTGGATTCGTTGCTGTTGGGGTTAAGGTCGGGAACGTTGGGCCCGTGGGCAGCGAGGGGGTGGTGAGAGTGTTCCCAGCGTGGGCTTCCCTGTCCCGCTTGGGCAGCGGAATCTGCTCGGAGAATCCAGGCTGTGCCGGATTTGTGCAGTTTGCCCAGTATCCTTCGTTTCCTTTAAGGCTGTTCAAGTTGTGGGATTTCCAGTCATTCCTTTAATATCAGTAGTTCTCTGGGTAGAAAAGTGTTTCACARACCTGCCTTAGAGCTTTAATGATTTCCTGATAAAAAATGAATTATCTAACTTTCTTTTTTCTTTTTTTTTTTGTCTAAACAATTATTTATGGGGAAAAATGTTTTCTTGTTATTTTTTTTTCTTATAAGTTAGTCAAGTCTTAGTTGTAATTCTGTCTTTAAGGTTATTCCAGTATATGTGGTGATCACTTTAGTAATATCATACAATTGTCTAGAAATAATTGGCATAAGACCATGGAAGATGATTGCTTTGGAATCCAGTCTCTCTTATTTAGATAGCTGGATACTATAATATTATATAGGAGATAGGGAGTAATATTAAGTGTATTAAGGGGGAAAAAAARGTCTTATTTTATAGTACCCCAGATTTGAAACCGACTGTGTTTGAAAAATGAATTTTTCCGCACCCTAAATGTTTTAGTTCATTTTGAAAGCTCYGCTCACCTTCTGGGAAGCTAAAGAGAAAAAAATGATCTGGGAATACCTGCTTTTAACAACTCTAGACCCTAAACTTTCCCTGGCTTTAAGACTGAGTCCTATACATGGGAAGATGCAATAGTGTGCGCTGCTGTTCCCTTATTAATTCTTGCACTGTGCAACTTTGTGTTTGGATGTGTACCTAGTTGTGAGGGGGTAAAGGGGCATCATTGTATCCTGCCACAGCTTTTCAGCTGCACGTGTGCAGTATCTCGCTAYGCAAGCTGTGTGCAGGCACTTGGAATGCTGTATGGTGCTCAGTAGTAGCAGGTTAATTTTTAATTTGTTTCCTGCAATTATAATAAGTTGTGTAAATTGTTAATGTTTCATCTCTGTCSTTTGTTTTATAACTATAGGACTGCATGGGCAAATATTATAAAAAGGTAATTATGGGGAGAGAGAGGACTGAAAATCAAACTCTGAAATTACAAATGTTAGTGTTTTTTGTGGTATTAGGAGTGGATAGACTACTAAAGGTCAATAGCTAACCTTTTCAGAAGAGGAATGTGTTATCTTAAATTTGAGGTGTCTTCATTTCCTTAGGAAATCAGTGAGATCACGAGATGAGGATGTAGATAATTTATAATCAACAGTAAATGAAGAGAAATTGGGATGTGACATTTAAAGTCTTCGTTATTAAGAAACAAAGCAGCAGCATAACTTCAGGCAGTGACAAAACAATTTATTGGAAACAAACCAAAAACATTCCAGCCTATTCTTTAACTTATTTTAGGTTTTCATGGAAGATTGTGACCTTTGTTTTTGTGTGTACTCATAGCTGTACCATTGACTGGACTTTTGGAAGTCATAGTAGAGGTGTAGTAGAGGTTACCTCATCGCGGTTTAATCTGATTTTKCAGAAGCAAGGTGAAGTTTAGGGTTGGTGCACCTGTGTCAGGTCTTTGCTCCCTTGTTTTCTGTTGGTTAACTTGGTGGTTTTGAAAATAAAATAAACGGAAAAAATACTCTGAAATAGCATGATATTTCTGT